CACACACACACACACATATTCCAGCTGTCGAGTCAATTCTGACTCATAGCAACCCTATGTGTCAGAGTATAGCTGTGCTCCACAGAGTTTTCAATGGCTGATTTTTCAGAAGTACATCAATATAGTGTGTGTGTGTGCATATATATTTATATGCACATATATATGTCATTAGGAAGGAAATAATTAACTAAAAACCAAATCAATGATACCAAAAAGGGGCTCCCTTCTATAATACACACCAGCATTCTGACTTCCAGAAGCATAAATTTCCATCAATGCCTATTATCTATGCATTCTAGATTATAAATCAGTTCCTGCTGAGTATTACCAACTCAGTCCTTCCGGGTAGCACTGGTTGAATTTCTGATTTTGCAAGTGACTCAGACAACCCTCCAAAGTGCAACACCCAGGAGGGTCTACTATGAAAGCATCTGCCAGACTTGACCATTTCTTTACCACAGATTTCACATCTCAAGAAAATCTCAGTTGTAATTTGTTGTGGAAAGCTCAGCACTCACCTGTCAGTAGTGAAAATGTACCCCACAAGATCCTTACTGCTTGATAGCAGTATGCAAAAGATGACAGCAAAGAGTTCTGTAGGTAAAATAGCACAAGAGACAGCAAAGTGAAAAGGGAGTCTTCAGGAAATCTGGGCTTCCACATGCAGAAATGACATGTGAGTAACTGAAGAAATAAGCGTAACCACCTGTGATCAGCAAGGCAATGGCTGATGATTTCTTGGCCTGCTCGATGTTCCCAGCACCCAGTGCATTTCCAACCCGGACACTGGCAGCCATACTGAAGCCTGTGGGTATCTAAAAGGAAAAAAAAAAGGAAACCTACACCAACGAAACTGAGAAAGTGAGACCACACAGCAGGTAAGTTGCGGGCCTCTGTGCTTTCAGTTCTGAACGTAACTGTTGTTTTTCCCCAAAGCAGCAGCAGCAATCATGTTTCATACCTTATTGGTTGTTATGGATTAAATTGTGCACTGCCCCTCCCCCACAATGAAAAATACATGTTGGAATCCTAATCCCTATACCTATGGATGTAATCCTGTTTGAAAATAGGGTTTTCTTTGCTATGTTAATGAGATCATACCTGAGTAGCATGGTTCTACATCTAATCACTTCTGAGTTATCAGAAGAGCACATTAGACAGAGGCATGCACATGCAGTGGAAGACAGGATATGTGAGGATGGGCTCTCAAAAATGCCAAACTCACTGCCATCGAGTCAATTATGATTCACAGAAACCCTCACTGGGTTTCCAAGTCTGTAAATCTTTATGGAAGCAGATTGGCCCATCTTCCATTCACAGAGCAGCTGGTAGGTTTGAACCACCAACCTTTTGATTAGCAACCAAAAGCCTTAACCACTGCACCACAAGCTAAGAAGTGCCCAGGGCTACTGACAAGAAAGAATCCACAGAACCAAGACCCTGATTTGGACTTTTAGCCTCCAGAACTGTGAGGAAATAAATTTCTGCTTTGTGTGTGTGTGTGTCCTTCCCTCCATGCACTCCAGCCCCCTGAGCCGTCTCCCTATGCAAACACAACCCTTCTATTCTCCCATGATTGTTCTCTCCAAGGAGTATATCTACCTTGGGTGAATGTTCAATTCATATGCCTATCTTTTGTTTGGCTGGAAGCCACAGGAGTGGGTTCAATTCCATACCTGAATGTCAGCTAGGGGTCATAGTCTCAGTAGTTCCATCAGGCTCTATCAGACCAGCAAACCTGGTCCCCCGCCTTTTTTTTTTCCAAATGATTTTGAGTTTTGTTCCACATTGTTCTCCCACTCTCTCTAGGATCTCCTACATAGATCCCCACTCCGAGTGGTTGACAGTGGTAGCCGGGCACCATCTAGTTCTTCTGGTCTCATAGTCATATAGGCTGAGGATCGCATGGTATACCAGTCCCTTGGACTAATCGTTTCCATGAATCTTTGGTTTTCTTCACTCTTCTTTGCTTTGGATGAGGAGAGACCCATCGTTGCATCTAGATGGCTGCTTGCAAGCTTTTTTTTATTATTTTTTTTATTTTGATTTGGGTGAAGATCTACAGAGTAAATTCACTTTCCATACAGCAGTTCACATATACTTTGTCTCATGTCATTGACCACAGTTTACCACAATTGCTTGCAAGCTTTTAAGATCCCAGTCACTACTCGCCAAAGTAGGAGGTGGAACAATGTTTTATGGAGTATGTTATACCAATTGAGCTTGATGTCACCTGTGATTATGGTCTTGAGCCCACAGGTTCAACTACTCAATCCCTCTGGGTAGCTGGCTGTGGCCAAAAAGTGACTATAACCTTGTCCCTTGTCAGCTCTACTATATATCTGGGAATTCTTACAGAGCATACCAATACACTTGTAGAAACACTGTCTGCTTTTTAAAGCTATCCACTTGTGATATTTGTGTTATCCAGTAGCACTAGGAAACTAAGACATTGGTAAAGCTTGGTCCCTAGAAGTTCTAATGAAACGAATTCACAACATATCTTTATCTATCTGGGAACCCCAGGTTCTGGCAATAATCACAGACTGGGTTTTTCCATAGAGCTCCCTGCCTCTGCAATGCGGTGGCTGGGGAGGGCCCTGCACAATCACATTCCTCCTATGGGTGTGGAAGATGGACTGTCACAAGCCCAAGCTAGTTTTTGTTCTCAAAGACCATTATAGGGCTGAGTTTAGAAGACAGAACACAAAAATGATGAACATTATTTTTTCGAAATGTTGGATTAAAAACTGAAAAAAAGAAAAGAAAAATGCACACCAAACTGATAACAATGTTACCTTTCTGTGAGGGAGGGGAGAGATTAAGAGTGGTGCTAAAGAAAACTGAGGCTAGACTGCCTAGGTTCAAATTCTGACTCAGCCACTCATCAGCTGTGACCCTAAACTACTTAACCCAGAACCCAGTTGCTGTCCAGTAGATTCCAGCTCATGGCATTTCACATAGTAGAACTATACTCCATAGGGTTTTCATGGCTATAAACTTCCAAAAGCAGAACTCCAGGTTTTTCTTCTGAGATGTCCCTAGGTAGGTTCAAACTACCAGCCTTCCAATTAGTATGTAAGTGCTTAACCATTTGTGTCAGCCAAGGAACTGCTTTAAAGTTTACAGTACAGACAGTAGAATACTATGTGTTTAAAAATATTTTGATTTAGATGTCATTATTGGATTTACTCAAGTATAAAATATAAAGTATTTAAGTGAAAAATAAAAGTTAAAAAATTTTGCCCAGGACCTAAAACTATACAGTTCCTCAAGGAAAATCTAGGGGCAAATTTAGGGGTCCTAATATATGGCATAAACAGACTATCAAGCATAACCCAAAATACACAAACAGCAGAAGAGAAACCAGATGATTGGGACCTCCTAAAAATTAAATTTTTATGTGCTTCCAAAGACTTCTCCAAAAGAGTCAAAAGAGAATCTACAGATTGGGAAAAAATATTTGGTAATGATGTACCTGA